TTTATACTAATTGCCCATTGACCTAATCGGCCCATCATGAAATTAGGAACATGCCTGGTCTCTACACATATCAGACCAAATTTTAATTAGATGCTTTAAAGCCTAAAATACCGAAACCTTATTATATCACTTTAAACGGGCTTAATCAAAATTGATAGTTTTTAATTTAATACACAATATTTCACATATAAGCCCACATATTTGATCAAAAAATCCTTACATTTCTACTCTTGAAAATGAAAAAAATGACCGTTGCACAGGTAGCTGAGTCCACCTTAGAGAGAAGAAGTCAAAAAAGGGGTTGAATTTGATGGCAAACAGTCATATTTTTAATTTTTTTGGCTAAATAATGCGCCTAAATCAGAAGCTAAATTATTATTTACATATTTAAACAATGTGACCAATTTTGTGCTTAATTGAGTTTTAGAATTTCTATCGACTTTTGATAAAAAGGTAGAGTAAATTATTATATGTCGACTAGTATTTTGTGTTTTCATATTTAAGTTATGAGAGATTTTATATATAAGCTTGTGAGTTATGAACAATTATAAATGGTTACAAAAATTCTATCACCGCTGCTTCTTGGCTTTTCCTTTGGAGAATTAGATGCGAATGTTGGTCCCAAATGGATAAATGCGACTTCCTTGTCTAACTCAACTTTATTGAAAATGAAAAAGGAGAACCTAATCCTTAAAAAGACAGAAAGCCGTATAAAGGACACTTCTCTATTTCCGTATGCAGAGATTTGTTATCGTCTAACTTTCACTTTCAATGTGAGAATCAAACGATAAAATCTTTAAAATATCTTAATTCCTCCAACTCCAAATATTATCTATTGTCTTACAATATTCCAGAACCATCCTCGTTTTCTTATATAAATGTCACAATGAAGTCTCCATTTTCCTCACACCAAAACCATTCGACTACACATTTTCTTTCGACTCGTATTCTCAGTCACTCGTTTAGTCTGTCGTCATTTTTGCTGCATTTTCTAGCAATGGAGAGAGTGAACAAAATGGTGGCAGAAAAACCAGTGGTGATCTTCAGCAAGAGTTCATGCTGCATGAGCCATACGATCAAATCCCTCTTTTGTGATTTTGGTGTTAATCCTGTAGTGTATGAACTCGATGAAATTCCAAGAGGTGGAGAGATTGAGCAGGCTCTGTTAAGACTCGGTTGCAACCCCTCTGTCCCAGCGGTGTTCATTGACGGTGAATTTGTGGGTGGAGCCAATGAGATTATGAGTCTCCACCTCCGACGATCCTTAAAGCCAATGCTTAAAAGTGCTCCACGGAATACCCAAATTTTGGGATGTTTTTATATCTAACACTATGAGTAATTCATTTTTACTGCATCAATAATGTAATCCATACTTATATAGAGAGAGTGCCTGTGTGTGCTGCAGTTTTGCTAACAATACTACTGCTAAATAATATGTTCCTTCAGCTTTTTTAGTGAAGCTGATTATGCTTTTGACTAATAAAATAAACAAGTTTTGAATAATTAACAATTGCTGATCTTATGTTCTTTTTATTGTTTCACTTTATCTTATTGTGAAGTGCCTAATTTTATGTCATCAAACCAGTCTGAAATTATTGCTATTATGATACTTGTAAAGTATGATTTTTATCTTAAATCATACACCTAATTTCCCAAATTTGGTAACGTTATGATTATTAGGTAGAAATTAAATCAATTAGAAAGCATATCTTGATTGTTAATAAGGATTTGAGCTCCTCCTTTAGTCAGTTGACATTTTGAGATAAATTCTAAGTCTTAACATGGTATCAGAACTCATTAATCTCAAACGAGCTATTCGATCCGATTAACGATAAAAAAAAATGTGCACAAGGATTTCAAGATTGATGTACTCAAACGAGCCATCATTTTGCGGAACACGTTAATAGATAACATTTCTCATAGAATAAATATAAAAATCCAGACCAATTTATCAGGGTTAATTTGAGTTATTTTTCTTAAGGTTGACATTTTAAAATTGAACCCCAAATCTTAATATTGACCCGTAACAAGTTATTAAGAAGATCAATCTTTTGAAATTGTCGATTAAGAAATTCTATTTCTCTCTCTCTCGACGTCTTGAATTTGAACTAATTAAGTTGAGGGATGGAAATACATTCCCATTCAAAGGCGGAGAGAGAGAATTTATAATCGTTAAAACTACTGATTTTCCATCAAACTGCGTAGTTAAGAAATTTCCCCCTTCTCAAATTGACCATTTGAATTTTATCATATGATATTTTTGAGGTTTAATGCCATGATATTCTAAATATTAAATCCCCCTGAGAATATTATATTTGGGATAATAATTAAGGTCTTGCATTCTCCTACAGTATCAAATACATAGACATCATAAATGGCAGATCGAAGATTAATCAATTGAGAGCTTGCAATATTTTTTGTTAAGAGGACTTCGAGAGTACAAGGAAAACGAAAAAGATTCAAAATAAAGTTTATATCAAGGCATGAGGAACGATTCAAAAATTTAACAAGTGGGTTTTATACAAGCTAGGGTTGACACCTAGTTTCACAGGTTACCTTTCTTCTTAACACAGAATGGGACACCGTACGGCAGTAGTTTGCTCCGCTAGACTACCTTTCACATTTTCTCGATCGTTTCGGGACGAAAGTAAATTCGATCACAATTTAAAGAAAGCTTACAACATGATATTGAAATGCATTGAAATAAACTTGATCATTGATTGTTTGAAACTGAACATTACAATAGACGAAAGCAGGAAATTACAATAGCTAGTGCATGGGACGAACACTAGAAATGTTGAAAGATGTTTGAAAGACTAATACCTCTATAATATACTTAGCAACAAAAACCCGAATTACGGGAGTAGACGTTTAAAAGCCGATGAATCATACAAAACTTTTCTAATTTCCAACTATTTTACAATTAAATGAAATATTTACAATGTGCGGCCGAAGTTGGGCAAACTACGGATACGATAAGGTCACGGGGTTTAAGTAAAGCTGCAGTCCGTGACATCTAGGGTTGTCAGTTAGACTTCATAGTAAGATTACATCTAAAATTAATCATAAGACATAATGATCCTATCCAATAAATGTCCATTATTTTTTATTTTTATTGAATATTTTTGGTGAGATTTCCTTGGTTAAAGGATATGCAATCATAAGATTGATACTAATATGCTCAATTACACGCCTCTTTACTTTTGAACTCTTCTTTAACAACAAAATTTTTGAGTTTCATATGTCTAGCAACCTTGGAGTGCATGTTCTTAAAAACAAGATTGTTAAACAATAATGATATATATTTTCA